TGACTCGGAGTTCTATCCCGAGAGATGTACAGAAGTCTTTCACGAACAATAGTGCTTTAAATGACATGATCGCCATCGGAAGCAAGTGTATGAGTTCCCAATGGCGCGGAATGTGTGTAAAGAGTTTGCCGATGTGCTGTTCCATGGACATCTTATTCGAGAGATCCTTATAGACGTCGAGCCCTTAACATTATATTCAGGATATAAATGCTGCTATCGCGGTCAGGGGGTATTGGGCCATGGAGATCAATGTGAAGTTTTTCCCCAGGGCCGTAGATGAGATCGGTGTTTTTTTTGCACGGTGCTTGGCCTCTATACATACTGAGCATTGTTTTTATATTCAGAATTGACCCGACCGTGTATTATAGCAGCGGTGAGGGTGGGATAATGTCGTATAGCAGCTGTACGAAGGGGGTCAACTAAAGTGACGAGAGTATAGATTATGGCTTGCCGACAACCGTAGTTCCGTGTCGGAGGAGCGTAGACGAGGTGTTCTTTATAAGTAAGGAATTGGGTTGGAAGCGAGAGCTCACGGCTTTGCACCACTTAGCGCCGGGGCGTACTGGCATGACCATGTTTGGCACCAACCTTGGTGGCTTTATGGCCGATAAGTTTAAACATATCGGACCATTCCGGGTTGCCATATGCTTTCTCAAATAGGAAGTGTACATCGAGCTAGCCGGTGTGACCGTACCTTTTTTTGGGCCTGCGGAACGAGGAAGTTGAGCATTAGATTTGCTTGCACAGATATTAATGGTGGGTTACCACGATCCGTTGTCCATATATGTCGCTAATTTTTGGCGCAATCCCTCCACTTCCGCGTGACAATCAATTTTGAGGTACGTCATCGCCTGCTGCCATTCGTCAGAGGTCAGTATCCAGGACGTTGGAGGCTGGTGGGTGAGATTTATGTCGCATGACTTAGCGAGGTTTATGGTAGCTTTTCGAATGAGGTGAAATAGGTCGTAGGTCATGGTAATAGTGACGGAGGGTGAGGAGTTGGTGGGGCATCGGGTGTAAAGTGTTGCTGCGGTGGCTGCGATGGGTTGGGGAAGGAGAGGGGGACGCTGAGATTGCGGTGGGTGTAAGAGGAAAGTATTTGCACATGGTGATATGTGCTGAAAAAACTTGGTTGGGTTCATATTCTGAGAGAGAGATTGACTCGTCCCGAGAAGTCCTTCACCCCCCCCTCCCGAAAAAGGACATAAATATTTACAGATTTAATAAGGTAGATGCCGGTCGGTAACTCAACAAATAATGACTCAAACAAAACGACTAAGGTGTCATATTTAGAATACGCTTTATTACGTTTCTGATACAAGCAAGTGGCTGAAAGTAAAAGTCGTATATCTGGTGCATACTGTACAGAGACATCTACCAGTACGATAGTCTAGCAATTTAAACAGGAATGCGTTGGTTGCTATCATGGTACAAAGGCAGAATAGGGTGTGTTCACGGCAATGGGTAAATCTATCATGAGAGGGCTTGTTTCGGTCCGAGATGGGAAGCTCTCCTTGTAAGTCGATAGTAGTATTGGCGGCCAGCCTTCTGTGCTATCTCCTTAGTTGTGAGGCGTCGTGTGGTATTATGTCTGATCTGCTCGCGAAGCTTACGGAGTTCTTTTTGTTAAGGCCATCGCAACTCTCCCCTCAGAATATAAACCAATCTCAGTTTTTCCCGGGACCTCGACCATGGCCCCACCAACATGCGGCAAATAACTATACCACAATTTTATACCGATTTATTGATAGTACAAATATGAACCGCTATTCTCAATAAACCTCAACGAATTCTGTTCAGAAGTTTCTCGGTCCCAATAGGTTTTGGGCGATCAAATACCGGACGACGACTATGTTTTACAGATTGAGGTAGAAGCCCCTTTACCACCCACCCTCAACGACGAAGGCTACGCTACTCCTCCGGACCGCTTACCAACCGACAGGACTGCACCCCTTCCCCGCCGACCACGCCAACGCCCCGAAGCATACCCCTTTACTCA